TGCCCGCCGGCTGGCTCCCTCAGGAGCCCGTTCTGTGAAGCGCCGTGAAGTAGCGCCTCCAACCGCCGCCCGCCCTCCGAACGGCTCTCCCAGTTTCCTCCTCACACGCTGTCGCTGGCAGGGTAGTCGCAGTTGCCTGCCTTATTCCTGTGTCTCATGGCCTACACCATCTCTGCAGCTCTCTCTCTGTGGCCCGTAGCGTCCTCAAATGATCTCTGCGGTCTGCCATGTCTCAGAGACTTTCTGCCCCGTCACCTGCGCCTTTGGCGGTGGAGCCAGCACTGTGGGGATGTGCTGGACGGCCATCTTGTGCCTTGGGGTGAGCTCGGTGTCTGCAGCCTCACAGGGCGGACAATTTCTGAGACCTCTTTCCAAAACTGACAGTGAATTTAGTATTTTAAAGCGCGTTGTGACAATGATGATGGAGAGCCAGTTTTACCACAGTATGCGGATCCATTCCAGAAACCAAACATGTCAGCAGCCAGGAAAGGGCTAAGACTTCTTTCAGCTTCTGACAAGATGGCTGACCCAGCGCAGGGGAGGAGGTGTGGGACACAGTGACGGCTGAATGAGCTGCAGAGGCTGCTGAAGCCAGCCAAAACCAAAGCGTAATGTAAGAAAGGAAATGTGGCCTACCTCTACTCTCATGATTCGGCCAGCTGGATCATCATCTGCCTTAAAATACATGGCCATCGATGGGCTTTGCCTTCCTTTCTGTGAGAGTTTCCTGTAAGCAGTTTGGGACTTGCTGCCTTTGGTATTGCCTCTTTGTCATTAAAAGAAAACAGAACTTGCTCAAAACCAATCACTGTATGCGCGTAATTTTCACTTGATTCAGCCAATGTTTCACATGTGGTAAACTCCTCTTTTATAAAAGAAGATTTGCCTAAATCTGTGGTTTGGAATAACAAATTTAGAGGCGGTTACAGCAGCTTTCTAAAGAGAGCGCTATTCAAATGGACATCAGGTAAGACAAGCAAGAACAGCTTAATAACTTTTCTATTATTTGTCTGAGGTTGAGCGTGTATTCGCAGGGTAACTGGCTGGTAACTCGGGTGGACTGGCCTTTTCCCCAGAGCGAAGCATCAAGCCTTTGTCAATGTTGGAAGTACAAATTCCAGGCCTGGTAATCCCTATAAAACAGTATCTCCACAGTGGAGATTTTGCAATTTACACCGCTTATGATACAACCTCTCTATTTATGTCAGTCCAGAGGCAGAAATGGCAGCTCTGTGTCTAATGTGTATGAGGAAAATACTCTTTTTACATGCCCCCATATCATTATCTTCCTAAAGCAAATAAGTAAACCCACACAAAGCAAAAGTGACAGGAACACTGAAGCCTTAGCCTAGTACCATAGTGATTATTATTATTCCTTAATCTGGGGATTCATTTTAACCTCCCTTTGAGCCCAATTGTCAGTTTTCCATTTCATTTTGGGCAGGATCAAGCTTGTTGATAATTACTGCTATCTGATTGTGCTGCGGTATATAAAAGAGGCAGCCAAGAGATACAAAGGAGAAAAAAAATCTCAATCACCAGGAAAACATTTTAGAATTCATTTATTCTTTCATGAATAATTACTGTATACTTTAACTCCTCTAATGTAAGGTAATTTTACAGCAGCTCAGCTCAGTGAGTTTGCCGCATGTAGGCTTGTGTATTGTATTGGAAGTAGCTTTTGTAGTGGATTACTTCCTGGCAGATTTTGAAATTCTCGGTAAGTCCAATAATAACCACCTTTACTGTCTTCTGATGCTCCTTTATCACTGCTGCTTTGGCTGGGCATGATGACTGCAACTCTTAACAAAATTATGTTCCTAAAAGCATGAACTATTAGTCCATAACTGCACTTTGGGGGCTTATTGTTGAAGGCTGTACTAGTGCTGTCCAGAGACTTGCAGACAGCAAATCCGAGTGTGCACTACGTGGCCAGCACTCTCAGAACATCAGGTTTTATAAATCCACGCTTCAAGCATTTTCCTTTTCCCTGAAAAAGGGTTTTTTCATGTCCCGTGAGTTACTGTCTTTTTTACTGAGCTCTGTTGATTTTCTTTTGAGAACATTAATTCTTGGGAGAAGAACTTCACATTACTTCAAAATATGTTATGGTGATGAAGATAAATGAACACACTGGGGAAAAAAAATATCTTAAGACAAGCACAGGAAAGAGAAGAGAGTTATACCTCATTGGCTCCGTTGTCCAAGCAGTCTGTCCTGGAGGGAGAACACTCTAACGGATCCTGGCAGGGTGAAGTAAAAGTAGATGAAGAGCTCATTTTATAAAATGTCTTTGTGTAAGACTGTATTGTAGACTTCTGAAAACATATTTTGTTCTCTGATCTTTATCTAATCCTTGGAGCAAGAGACATAATTGATTAGAATTATTGAAGAGGAATGACAATAGCCCAAGAAAATAATGAAAAATACAATGTTTTCAAAGGCATATTAATACTGATGTGTTCTGAAAATTTGATTTTTCCCCCCTGTGATTCCTTTAGTGATAATTGTTTTCATTTCCATAAGACTTCCTTCAGTGATTTTTGAAATAGAGACCTGTCTGAATCATGCAATTTCCCATGACTGTAGCATATGTGGGTGATTATATCTACAGAAATGATAGAAAAACAGAATGTTTTTCCCACGCCACAGACAGATGACGCTTTTTCCAGAACAGGCCAAATTCAGCTTCCGAATAGACTTGGGCAACCACACTGCGAGGGGGTAGACTCCAGCTGGCTGTATGGCCTGTTGTTTCAGAAGATGCAGAAGACTTTCTCAGCTAGAAGTCTCTTCTTTGAAGTACAATTAAGATAGTAAGCACACTTACATTGGATCTTTGGCTGAATCTGAACTCAAAGCTAAATTGTTGTGTCTTTTACCAAATGATATACTGTACATAATGTTTCTTCCTCTTCTTGTTCATTTAAAGATACTTAGGTTTAGTGGTAGGATTTCACATACAGGATAACTCTCTCTCCGTATGCCACAAGCTGTATGGTACCAAAGCTTTACTTAAGCTTTGCTCCCTAGTGAACTGAAGGGCCATTGTTGCCCATTTCAGTGAAGTGTATGAGAGCATACCATAGCTGGAACCTTCACTTACATAAGGGAAACTATTCACTAGTAGTCTTGCAAATTTCTGACAAGAAATTTGCTTGCTAATAGCTCCATTTCATATTTATAGGTTGTTGTCAACTGTTCTCTGGCTATGAGTGATTGGTAATTGACAGAGAAAAGCTTCCTTGGCCAGGAAAAGAAATGATTTTTAGACTGTCTGACAGAATGTATACACGGCTTTATCAACCAGTAAATCAAATTCTGCTGTCAGGCAGAGCTGATCTTAGTTAAATGAATGGGGGAAACTAAATTCTGCTATGATCATTTCCTATTAACATTATAGCCTTTGCTAGTGAGGGTTTTGCTTGCGTACTGATTCCCTTCGTTTTGTTTAATGTTCTGTAGATGTCTCCATGCATACGATGCAATTCATATTTTAAAGTTCTTTTTCCTGCACATGTGGAGAAAAAACACCTATTTGATCTGTGCCAGTGGAAAGGCATCTACTTCAGAGTACACAAGGTTACCTACCATTTACTGATGATGCATTTTCTTTTCTTTACTAAAGAAACATTCAGTAGAATTCAGTCCTGTGCATAATGAGGCTTGTGGGATAGCAAGGTTTGGTGTAGGTATCAGTAACAACAGCTGGCTGTAGTTATCCCAGCCTGGTTTTAAGGCACTTGTAAAGGCATGGCTAGAGCTTAAAGGTGATGTACTACTTCCTTAATAGCACAAAGAAAGCAGACTGCTATTCCCTCAGTTCTTGATGAGCTGCATTGTCACCTGTTCAGATATCAATAAACTGGTTTCTGTCCCCTTTAAGTGTGATTTGCTGCTTAATGAAGTCTTGTTGTGCTTACATGTAAACAAGAATGCAGTATCAGGGAGATAATAGGGGCTAGGGCAGGATGATTCCTTTCTGCACCGTGTTCTGCACTTCAGGTGATGTCATGATTGCCATGTCACACTCTGCATGAATTCATCCAAATATCATGAGCCTGAGATCCCCTCTATGTCTAGTTTTATTGTTCTAATAACATCTGACAAGAAGTAAGACTCATGATTTTGATGGATATAGATGAGAGATTTGAAATATAATTTAACTAATGGAATTGGATAATTGGAGTACAATAAGATACCAGAAATAATTATCTCATAGGCAATTGCTTTAAAGTTACACCAAAATTATATTAGCATTGTGAAGCATCATAACGAAATACATTGTAGCCTGTCTTATGAGGAAAGGCTGAGAGACCCTGGATCTGTCTAGCCTGGAGAAGAAAACACTGAGAGGGGCTCTCATCAATGCTTATAAATATCTAAAGGGCGGTTGTCAGGAAGATGGGGCCAGACTCTTCACTGGTGCCCAGCGGCAGGACAAGGGGCAATGGGCACAAACAGGAACACAGGAAATTCCATCTGAACATGAGGAAAAAATTCTTTACTTTGAGGGTGGCAGAGCAGTGGCACGGGCTGCCCAGAGGGGTTGTGGAGTCTCCTTATCTGGAGATACTAAAAACCCACCTGGATGTGTTCCTGTGCCACCTGCTGTAGGTGACCCTGCTTTGGCAGGGGGGTGGCCGAGATCACCTCCAAAGGTCCCTCCCAACCCCTACCATTCTGTGAGTCTGTGATAGGCAACAAATGGTTTTATTTCCTTTTGCTCCTTCTGGATACATTCAGCAGTTTCACCTATTATTACTGGTACCCTGTATTACCAGTTCAGCAGCGTAACATATTTGGCATTTGTATCCTTCCCATCCTGGCTATTTGACGCATCAGTATCTCACTTAGGCAGTTTCATGTATGTTGCCAGCATCAAAGGATGTCATCACAATTTTGTCTCTTGGCTGCAAGTACATTACAGAGGGCTGAATGTTTTTTGGTTGCACTCAGTGAATGCTGGACAGGCCTCCAAAAAATATCTCTTAGCAACATATTGGTGACAAGGACATTGCAAAAATCAGAGGTAGCTGGACTGTGGCTTATCTCTCATTCTTAGTTCCTTCTTCCTTAATCCTTGGAAAAGGTCCTTTTCCTTCTGGCCTGTTACCTCTTTCATTTGCACTGATAATGTCCATGTATATAATCTTGCCAATCTGCAACAATATTTCTAGCCAGAGTGATACTAAAGTCCTAGGAAAACAGTGGCTTTGGCATTTGAATGCGTTTGCTCAATGCCTTCTTTTCCACCAGTAGATGGCACTCCCCAGGAATAAGCTGGAAACATACCTGCTTTCTGCATCTCCCTCTGACCCAAGCCAGGAGGGTATTTCCATGGCAAGCTGATAATAAGCACAGATTTAGAATATTCTCCCCATCATCTCTAAACCTGCATTTTATCTGTATCAGTAGTAGTTAAAGCTGTGTCAGTATCTGTTGTGGTTTTTACAGCTTTGAGAATGAGTTAGGGTTAATTTTTTCCTCAAGGCTGTACATTTTTCATTATTAGCTGGTATAGCAGTCTCCAACACTGCGACCTTAATGCCCATGCCTCTTTGGGAAGTTAATGCCTATTTGCTTCAATGGCAGGATGTGAAACTCCATGCCAATATGAATGTGTTGCCAACAGAAGATGAATTTAGTGCTGGTAGAGAGCGTGGCTGCTCATTGTTATGAATCAGTGATCCAGTTATTGTCACGCAGGCTTTGTAATAAGCCAGATTCAGATCATTCTGATACTAACATACCTTTTGTTTCCTCATGTTATTGGTGGGGTATAAATTCTTACAGAGGAAAAAGGGAGTAACTCAAATTTCCTTTATTTCAAACTTCACTATTATGCATTCTCTAATATCTATTTCCTCACTTTATGCAGAAATGCAACAAATGTCTGATATACTATACTTAGGCTTATTTGTCTTCTTCCTACCTTTGAATATTACAGAGTTTCTTTATTAGGATATGTCTGTTAGGCTCTTACTGCAGTTGTGTCATGGTCAGTGTTATATTGGAAATTTACAGCAGAGCTGACATGCATGAAGAGTGTAGCTCATCATTCTGTTATGCATTTAGATGGTCAAGGGAATAGTTATGCACCATTTTGGATTTGTATGGGGATTTTATTATTTAGGATTGTGTCTTTGTTACACTATGCTTAATAGGGGTAGATAGGAACTTGAATGACTGTATGAAATGAAATATTTGTTTTCAGGATTTATTTTCATTTTGGATTGGAGAAAAGTTGGAAAACTGCAGAATTTTGTTAGCGCCTTTCTCAGTTTACTAAAGCATATAAGTCTATATGACTCATTTTGTATTTTCAAATCTCCAACTTTATTGGTCAAAGACACACTTAGTCTTTAAATAAAAAGTGATTTCTGGGAAGAAGAGATGACTGTTCTTCATGTCCATAATTTACAGGGCAGAAATAGCAGTCTTAAATATCAGCAGAGGAAATTAAGAAAACAATAGTTTAATTGTAGTGAAACATTGAAATACATTTCCCGACACTACTGTGGAATCTCCATCATTAGAGATCCAAAAGAATAGTTTCAGCAGAAATCTGTTAAGAATTATGTAGAAATGACTGAACATGCCTTGGAGAGGGAAGTGGGTTAAATAGTCTCCTGGACTCCCTTCCAGCCTTATTTTCTATAATTTTACAGCTCTGCAGTGGTCCTGCCTCTTGTGTGTTAGAGGATCATAGAGGTGTTTAGAGGCTGAATGAAAAAAAC